TAATAACCAGTGGACAAACATTCAGAACGTTAAAACATAATGTGGACGGTTATACAAATATAAGAATTAGTTTATTAAGAATTCAAATATCGATTGGCTTGTTAACCTGATGGGATTTTATTACTTATGTGGATGGTATAATTTTCATTATGTGTCTAAATTAGACTCATATAAAAAGTATACAGGTAATGAAGAAAAAACCGGTGAAAGAAATAAATAAAAGCATACAAAATAGTGTGCAAGCACATGGTATTTATGTGTGAGTGCGTGTTTGTATCAGTAAATGATTATGCATTCACTATACGTATTAGGCAAAAATCAAATACAAACAATCCTAGCCTGCACACAAACAATATACTTTGGAAGTATCAAAACAAAAGTAATTAATAATAATGATAATATACAAGAGGAAAAGGATGGAAATAAGCACATAGAGGAAAAAGCAAAACCAAAAAAGGAGAAGAGTAAATAGGTATGAATAAGCGAAATATCCCGCAAGCACTAACAGTTATGTCTGAAATGAAATACAGGAGAGAGAGAGAGAGAAAAAAAAGAAAAACACACGGCAGTGATTATGTAGAACCAGCAGGTTTTGCTTTTCACAAGTATAATATGAAGCCAAGACGAGAAAAACAGGTGTAAAACAGGTGGTTGGTCGTATGATACAACTAGAAAAAAAGGCAGTGTTACAAAATGGTTGATTGATGCAACAAACTATAAATATGAAAACTATCTGACTGATATTGATGTTTAAATGTTAGTATGTAGGCAATAAAGAAGGCCATAGGCTTATAGCATAGCGTAGCATCAAACAAGCAGATATGTTAGTTTCAACATAAAAAAGGCATAACTGATGAAATACAGAGTGATTAAACATCTCTTTATGTTATTTTGTTAATTTAATCTCTGATATTTTTTGTTTTAACCAAATTTCCTCAGTTTATGTGGGTGTATATTCGTTGGTCGGTAAATGAGTATCTCTCATCCAGAAATAAGAAAAACACAAATGAACAACAAGTAACACAGATTTCCGTTGTGTTTATAGTAAAAAAAGGTGTTGAAATAACAAGACGGAAAAATTATGCAACCACTCTACGTGATGAAACTTCCCATCGACTTCCTGTTGGCTATCTTGTTTTTTTCACTTAGACATTATTACACACATTCAAGAAGGTATATATATATAAAGGGAATAAAGAATATGATAGACAAACGGAGAAATGGAATTGTAACGTTATATGCAATAAAAGTACTTTCATTAAACTGTTGAATTATTATGAAGTGAAGAACAGTTTCAAGAACTCCGCCTGTAGCTCTTCTAAGGCTACTGCCATTCTCACGACCGAGTAAAGGGGGAGGGTTGGGTGTGTAGTTAGGAACCCCATCCCGTAGAACACAACCTTGCTAAAAAACGCTAACCAGAACTAAAAAACTCAAACTCTGTCCTCTGAGATAAAGGATCTCCATTCATAAGAATCATGATGCCTCATAGTGAAAGCCAAGATTCTTCGGAAGTCATGAGGACAATGCCTCTTCTAACAATTCGAGCAACAATCAATATAGGTAAATGGAATTTTCGAACAATATGGGAGACCGGGAGGACCAATCAAATAGCAATGCAAATGAGGAGATACATTTTGTCGGTTCTCGTGTTCAGCGAAACGCATTGGACCCAAGCTGGACAGCAAAGAATATATTCACGAGGGATACTGCTGTACTTTGGTTATGAAGAAGAAAATGCTTCACATCCTCAGAGAGTTGCTCTGATGCTGTCCAAAGGAGCACGTAAAGCACTTATAAGATGGGAATCTGATGAACCCAGGGTCATTAAAGCATCTTTCAAAACGAAGGAGGGAATAACAATGATTGTTATACGATGTTACGAACCCACCAATCGTAGCAATGACAACAATAAAAATCATTCTTATGAGAGGTTGCAATCGATCATAGTGAAGTGCTCAGGAAACGACCAGACAATCCTGATGGAATGGACAACAATGGTTATGAAGGTATCATGAGAGGACATGGACTGAATAGGAGAATAGTGACATATTCGCAAATGCATGTGCATCCAACTAAATGGTTATAGACGGCACAATATTCGCACACAAGCGCATACACAAAGTTACATGAGTCTCACCGGTTCACATCACGGAGAACCAGACCGATCATATTTGTATCAATGAAAATCATAAAGAACAATGGAAGAAATGCGAACCAGGAGAGGAAATGACATGGCTTCAGATCACCACCTGGTGGATGCCAAGATGAAACTGACGCTAAAAAAATGATGAAAAACCGAAGAAACAGCACTACGAAGTTTCAACACAGCCTTCCTTCGAGATATTAACAAACTCAACGAAGTCAAGATAGAGCTCAGCAACAGGTTCCATGCCTTACAAGATCTACTGGAAGAATAAGAATTTACTGTTGAGGACAATTAGGAAGGGATCAAAGAAGCACTGACTTCAAACGTGTCAGAAAATGCTGGGACGCAACAAGTGCCATCATAAGGAATAGATCTCTACGGAAATCGTGGACAAGGTTCAAAAAAGGAGGAACAAGAAGGCAGCAATCAAAATCAGCCGAACAAGAGCAGAGAATTCAAGGCAAAAACTGAATACACAGAAGCAAACAATTTAGCGAAGAGGAGCACTAGGGTTGACAAACAGAAATATGTGAAAGACATAGCAGTAACAGTGGAAAAAGCTGCGAGAGAAGAAAAAGTGAAACAACTGCATGACACAACGAATAAACTAGTAGGGAAATATAGTAAACCAGAGAGACTAGTCAATGACAAAGAAAACAAGACAATTGCTGAGATTCGAAAAGCGAGGAATAGATGGGTAGAACACTTTGAGGAGCACTTGGATAGGCCAGCACCATTGAATCCACTGGATATCGAAGCAGAATCAAGATACCTTCTTATAGATGTCACTTCACCAACGATCGAAGAAATCAGGATGGCCATCAGAATACTCAAGAGTGAGAAAACGACAGGACCTGACAGAATACCAGGTAAAGCACTGAGATCAGACACAGAAGTAACAACAAACATGCTCGACAATCTACTCAGGAAGATTTGCGGGGAGGAACGAGTGACGACAGACTAGAATGTAGGTTACCCCATCAAGATAACAAAATGTTCTGAACAGGTGTGAGGACCATAAAAGTACCACACTACCATTGGTACAAGGAAAGGTTTCCAACATAGTGTTGCTGAACTGGAAAGATTCAGTGGATGTCCAGTTTCGAGATGAACAGGCCAGATTTCGTAAGAATCGGTCTCGAACTGACTAAATCGCAACACTACGGGTCACCATCGAACAATAAATTGAATGGAACTCGTCACTACACATCAACGTTTATGACTATGAGAAAGCGTTGAACATTGTGGATAGAAGGACCTTATGGAACCGTCCTCGACACTATGGAGTATCTGAGAAAATCGTCAGCATCATCCGGAATTCATATGACGGACTACACTGAAAAGTCGTGGATGGAGGACAGCTGACAGACGCATTCCAAGTGAGGACCGTAATTAGACAAGGCTACTTACTCTCCTCTTTTCTTTTTCATCTGGTGGTTGACTGGATTATAAATATTTATACATATGAGGGGAAGTACTTCGCAGATGGCACAGCTCTTCTATCTTAAAAGCAACAACAAATGCAGTAGTCTCTGCATCAGTATGCCTCAACATACACAAGAGAAAAAGCAGGACACTCATATATAACACAGTGAACATTAACTTAAGTACACTTGGTGAAGAAACTCAGGAAGAGGTAAAAACTATCACGTAACTGGCTTGGATCATCAACAAACAAGGAGGATCTGATGTAAATGTGAAGGCAAGGATTGGCAAAGCAAGGACAACATTCCTACAATCGAAGAACATATGGAACTCAAAACAACTGTCTGCAAGCCAACATCAAAGTCAGAATCTTCAATACGAACATCAAGGCAGTTAGTTCTATTGTACGGAGCTGAAACTTGGAGAACTATCACAACCATCATCCAAAAAGTACAAGTGTTTATAAACAACTGTCTACGCAACAGCCTACTGTGTGAGAGAACAAATCAGCTTCTAAGTGAAGAGGAAATTAGGAAAAGATATGGGAAGTGGATAGGACACACACTGAGGAAATCATCAAACTGCATCACGAGGCAAGCGCTTACCTGGAATCCTGGAGAGAAATAGAAAAGAGGAAGGCCGAAAACACATTGAGTCGGGAATTGGAAGCAGACACGAAAAGGATGAATAGCAACTGGAAAGGATTACCCAGGACAAAGTTAGATGCAGAACGCTGGTGGTCGGCCTATGCTCCTCCTCTAGGGGTAGCAGGCGTAAGTAAGTACAGATTCAAAGCACACTTCATTGACATACATGCACAGAAGTATATAAGTCAAGAATTTTCAAATTCTCCACATACAACAATTGATAGGAGAAAGATGAAACATGTACTGATAGTAGAAATTTAGAAAAAGAGAAAATAAGTTAGTAATCCTACCTACCTAAACTATCTAAATACGCACATTTTAGCTATCGATAGAACTTTGCAGCAATAAAGAAACAGTAGATTATTATGTTTTTAAATGAAGTCAACTGAGAGTGAATGACTTCAAAGAAATCATTAATGAAAAGATTGATTTGCGTATTTGATGAAGTCTTGGTGTGATGATAAATAAAGCATACTATTTAAAAGCTACCAAATCATCTAGTGATTGAAGTAGAGTACAAAAGGCTTAAGAATAGTCTTTTAGTAGAATAGATATGATAAATAAAAGTAACACATAGATCTAAGACTGAATTACATAAAGAAATTTCAGTTAATTAATTTGACAATTAAAGTGTATAATTAATGTTTGGTTTCTCCTTATACATATTTGATGTATAAAATTTAAACATAAACAACTTTAAGACAACACAAAGCACAGTAACAATTTAAATAATCATGGAATACAGAAAAAAGAGCGAATATTGACAAAAGACAAATTACCTGTATTAAACTCAAGTCCAAATGGACAATCCTCTAGTGTTAATGGATCTTTTTCTTTGAAATCATGAAATAAATCATTGGATGACATAAGGATTTGTTTCATAGATTTAGCACTTACGATACGATAAATTAAACTAGCATCATTATTTATGCCTACTGCTTCAATAGAAGTGACAGTTTCACCGATAGGTACAGATTCCGGAACAGTAGCAGAATAAAGTATAGCTGAGAATTGTGGACCATTTTCAGCAACCAAATGAATATTAACAATAGCTGTTGACGAAAGACCCCCTCCATCGATTGCTGCAACAACAGCTTCAATTTGTCTACCAGTCCAATCAGATGGAAGACTTCGAAGTAAATATATATGTCCAGATGTAGAGTTGATGGATAATAATGGCGGTTCAGCTCTAGGACGAATATTGGTAAGACTATACACCACAGTTCCATTTATACCTTTATCTTTATCAATAGCCGTAACCTGAAAATAAGATATAATAGTTCTTGATTATGATACTGAAAGATACAGTCAAACAAGAATAAAATGCATTAAATTAATATTATTAAATGAAAAATGATCATCTTTCTAAGTTATTATTGGTAGTCAAAGATTTCATCTTATTCTTAGGATTATTATATAGAATCCATAATTCTTCCCAGTAAAATTAGTGAACAAGTTTCATAAAAGTGGTTCTCTTCATGAAGTGGAAAAAAGGAAAAACAACAACAAAAGTAGAATAATACGAATACTTTTTACGTGGGTTCTCATTAGTCACTCACAACTGTACTAAATAGTAAACAATGGTGACAAATTATATATATATGCAAGCATGTGTAATGTAAACTGAAGATAGATAGGGAATGGTGGACTAGTTGTCTCGAGTTTAAAAATAGTGACAAACTTCAATTTTACGTAAGTCTAAGAAGTAAGTGAATGAAATCCACGGATCAATGAAAAGATTATTAAAAAGTGGATGAGCAAAGATTGAATAACAAATTACAAGCAACACCAATAATATCAGTAAACGATTTTGCAAAGTTTGTAAGATTTTCAGAGTTTAAATCATGAACAGATCTTAGCCATACCACCAGAAATGCTGGATGATTGTTCGTACTAATATGTAACTTTTCAGTAATGGGCACCCAAAAACGTGTCACAGGGAATCAGACCTAGGACCTTTGGCATTACAAGAGAATACGTAGCTAACATTACATTAGTATCTTTCTAGTTGACCAGCGATATCTACTCAAGCAAACGATAAGTTACATGAATCTTTTTCCTCGATGTACACCTAAAAAATAGCTACTTTTGCAGAGATAACTATAATGGGTGTACTAACAGGCAACTTAACCAAAGGATGAGTGGACATCTTTCTAAGTGGTTTGGAAAGGGCCAGACGAAGATAATACGTTAGCACATCTTAGCATAGTTAGTTGTTAGTGGTCATACGATAGATAAAACTAAATCATTTCGAGTAATCTGTTGTTTACCTTCGTCATTTTACACTAGAGTTCGATTCCGTCTCCCCAATGTAACACAAGTTAGAGAAATCCGAACCTATATACCCAGCCTGATGGAATTCTGACAGAAAACAAATCTGTTCGCCTGTATGCGTTTTTCCAACGTGGATATGAGTTTATCTGAGTGAATGTGAAAAATTTGAAACTCCTATTTTCTACTCATTGGGATATTATAATATAATATATTATTTTGTAGTAATTATAAATGTTATTTCATCTATTTTTATTAAAATTACTTGAGAAAAATGATTAACAATAATGTTCATGAATTAATCATATAAAGAAAAACATTCGATGGATTAAATAAGTAAAAATTGGAGACATGAATTTTCAAAATGATTAATTAACTGAGAGAGAGCATTTACGAATCTGTAAAATTTTCTAACTCCTGTACTTTTCTGCGGCGTTTTGACTCACCAGTAATAAATGATGAAATTGAAAACTAAACGTATGAAAAAAGCATGATAAAAGACAGTACTGAATTTTTGAATTTGAGAAAAGAATTGGAAAGCAATACAGGGAAAACAAATCCATTGCTTATGTGGAAAGCTTTTTGAAATAAACAAAATGCGCCGCTTTGTAGATATTGCAAATAGAGAAAACGTTTACATGTTTGCAGAATACGCTTATTTAGTTTGTATACACCAAAATTGCTAAGATAGGAAAAAAATCTACTTAAAAAAGAAAACAAATACATTCATAAAGTATACGCATTGTTCATTTTCCACTATCTAACTAAGAAGTTGGCAAGTTTGGAATTTGAATAGACTCTAGTATTTGGGTTGAGTGTTATATCACCTATTTTAGTCATGAAATCAAAATAGTGAGCGGATAACTAATTATCAGAAGAGGTTTCGTGGAGATTTTCAGTAATTTCAATAGTTGAAATCATGAGTCGATTGAAGCTAGACCAACATAGAAAACCTGGGGGCACTGGAAGGTTGTTTCGTCCTAGTATGAGTGCCGACTCAGTGGTCTAATGACTAAGTGCTCGCGCGCGAGACTGATAGATCCTGGGTTCAAATCTCGCGGGGGGTGCGGGATGGTAGATCGTACTACTGAGGAGTCCCATACTAGGACGAAACAGCCGTCCAGTGATTCCAGGTTTTCTATGGTGGTCTAGCTTCAATTGACTCATGATTTCAACTATTGAGATAATTAATTGTTAAGTGTGCGAAGAAATTTCTCAAAACAAATTCCTTCATTTCATACTAGGAGATGGTCATAAAGTATCTGAATTGTCATTTACTCTAACACATACGAAATTGCTGAAACTCTAGCAAACTTTATATCTACACAACCATTCCAATGAATAGTATCCATGTACTGGTCACTTGTGACTAGTTTCAATTTGAATTTCTAAATCTCTAGTGGATATAAGCAAACCGAATTTGGAGTGAAAAACAAATGTACTGTTGAAGTTGGTTTAAAAAACACACCACGATCGATCGAATTTGAAAATGGTAAACATTAGACTTTGGTATCCTTAATCTAAAAACATTATTACGAAATCTCAAAAATATGAGTTCAATCCCGTGTCGGGCCGTCAGTGTACACTGCATACTGAGCAGTGGTAGAAAAGTTATTCAATATCTAATAATTTTCTTCAGTTAAACTTAGTTCGTAATGAAAATAGTTTTTTAAATACAGTTGGTAGAGTTGGAAATGTGTGAACAATGAACATTTACTTAAATCCTATTGAATTCAATCATTAAAAATTTTACCATTCAAGTTGCAGTTAATATGAAGTATAGACTTTATGTAAAAATACGATATTTATTTACCAAAATATAGAAGAATTAAATCCTGCACACAATCTATTTATCTAATATAATAATTTAATTAATCAGTCAACTTCTACTAGTTGAGTCAATACTTCAACTAACTTACAAAAAAAAAGACCTTAACAGAAGTATATATATATATATATATATATATATATATATATATATATATATATACTTATGTACTGACGAATAAAATAGAGAAAAAAATAGAAGAGTGAGACTAAAGCAAATTCATCATAGAGAGAGAGAGACAGAAAAAAAACCTATTAATTTGAAGCTCCCACGCTTAGGCAAAAAGCTGTTCATTCAACCATGAGAAAACACTAATTTAAAAACAACATTGATAAAGATTATTGCATGAAAAGGAAAAAAACAATAGTGATATCTTTATCATATATATAACATCTCACTTACTTTAAAATTATTCAAACTTTTACAAGTAGGATCAGCTTCTATACTTCGATCGGTTGATTGTTCATTCAATGCATTGAAACTAGTGCTTGAACCAACACAAAACGTGACATAATATGGTAAACCAATAAATTCCGGTTGGTAATCATTAATATCTAATAAATGTATATGTATTACAGCAGTCCCAATACGATTTTCAGCATCACGTACAAGAATATTCATAGTGAAATTCGCAGTTGATTCACGATCTAATTCGGTGGAATTTTGTTTCCCGGTAGCAAAAACGCCACCAGTCAATGGATGGACAAAAATGCCCGGATGAGGATCGAGCGTGATAAACCTTTGGAAGAAACCGAAAATAACAACACGACTGTAAAAGAATAATAATTGTAAATTCTATCAAATATTAAAGTTTCATGATTGAAAGGAAATTGATGAATCAATTATTTCAAAGTGATTTTCATCCTATACTGATGTTAGTAGAAGAGTCTATAAAAACCAATGACTAACTAATAACTAATTCATCTTAGATTGTCATTACATATTTGCATTTAATCACGACCCACACAAGATTGAACTCAAAATGTTGGGATTTCCCTGCGAGAAGAACACTTTGAGATCACTGGATCCAATTGTAGACATTTTCCAATTAGATCAACTTTTCCTTAGAGCGACATCACGTGCTAGTAAAAAAAACTAACTTGGGATGGAACACATTTTTACGTAAATAACCTTGACATATTGGGGCCAAATATTTCTCAAAAAGAAAACGAAAAATGATAATGAATTATTTATGTGAAACGAGATCTTTAAAAAGAAAACAAATAACTGTAAAACAATCGTAATAAAGAATCCCGAAAAGAGAATTCGCCATAATTGATTACCAAACATACATAACAGTGAATATAAGATTAATATATAAATTTAATCCTGAAAAATGTTTATAACTATGATTTTCTAAGACATACAAAATAAACATGAATTTACAAAATGATACAACGAATGAAATGAAAATAATTTGGAACCGGAAACAAAATATATGATTATCAAGTATTAATAATAGTAATAGTAATCATAATAACAATAATATTCTACCTATTTAAAGTAATACAGCCTAAACACTAGTTTGTGTGTGAATAAGACGAAACTAAATAAGCAAGAATAAACAACCTCAGAATTTTTTTTAATAAACGATCTATGAATTATTTATGTGGAGTAGACAATATGAACAATTCTAAAATGGAACTTACACGTTGTGATCATAGTAGTAACCTTCTTATTATCAAATAAAGATGGATAAAAATTGGTAATTTGAACCTGGGACATTACATGATTGTCTCAGATGATTTGGATTCTTGATGTGATCATGTGTTGACTGTTAAAAAATAACGAAAAACTGCAACCTTTTTATTGATATTATCAGTTAATATAGTGATGCCAAGAACAATCGAATCACACATTGTTGGATTGGATTAGAGCATGTGTCGTGCAGTATTATGTTGCGGCACACTGACTGACCATTTCTTAGCCAATCAATGCTGACGGATAGTTGGAAAAGACTCTAGGGGCTTCTAGTGTAAAAATTATAAGTATACTAACGTTTTCTAGTTGAGATTCCTAATTCGACTAACCTTTATTTATGACATAATTACGTTCCTGTTTAACTGTGTTCTGATTTGGGGACTTGCTGAGCAATAAAAGTAGCTGGGTCGGGATAAGAAAGATTATAACCCCCATTTACTATGTAGTTTTTATACACTTGTTTGACCCATGACCCACAGTGTATGAAAATAAGTGGACGTATCTCTCTCCATCGTTTTTGATTTAAGTAAACACAACCATTTATAAGAATTACAGATTTGAAGGTATATAACACGCAGAATGGTTCCATCAGAACAAATTTTGTACTTATTAAAGTGACTGACATATCACTAATAATGATCCTGAAATATTAGATCAATAAGTAATTTAGGAAATATTTTGATCTAAAAATAATCACTATTACAGAATTAAATAAACTGAAGACTTAGTGAAAGCAGATGAGATAGTCATTTTAAAAGACATTACGATATTTTCTGCTCTAGCTAGAACTATTTCAGTTTAGTTCAAACCATTGATCAGAAGGGTATACAGTTTAAGGTTTACCTTACCGAATTATTTTTAAACAGATCGTATGACGAATGGTGCAGTTAGAGAAGATATGCAACTGCATTCCAATACACTAATTCGACAAAGTTGCAATGAAACTTGAAAAGCGTGGTTTCGATATCGTACAATGATGAGCACTTACTGCAGACTAACAGTCGTTGTGTTTCTTTATATCATAGGTAGCTTTTATTTATTGAACAGGATTATCATTTAACATTATCTATTGAGAAGTTCGTCAATATATTGAAGGCTCTGTATACAAACACCTCAGGTAGAGTGAGAGCATACCATCATCTCCACATACATAGTTCCATTCCAGTCGCGGGATTGAACAAGATTGATCGATCTCATGTTTCCTCCCTAACTTTGCGATTAACGACATTCTGAAAACAGATCTGATCCAATTAGATTGTGATAGTACAGATCTGTTTCCTAGAACAATAATTTTAAATCCTTAGCGTGTGAATGACATTATATTGCTGTGAGATAAAATACAAGGGATCCTAGTTAAGCTTGGCCATTCAGCACATGTTTTGTACCTTTTAGTTGTGGAGTACCCCGGTATGACTAAAAAGAGACTATGCTTGCATTAACTCTTGGTAAAAATCCGTTAGAGTTAGTCGAACAGTTTGTGTGCCTGGGTAGTTTTGTGAGTATTGGTGATGGGGCGACAGATAAAATCAATCTACAGATAGTGAAAGCCAGGGCGGCTTATGTCAATTCGGTCAATCACTGAACTAGTCATAACGATAGCCTGACTGTAAAACTTCAGGTTTATAACACGTGGGTGAGAGCAGTTCTAGTTTATGCATGTGAAACCTGGATTGTTTTGGCTGGGAAGGTTCGACAACCATTCATCTCTGACCACTGACGTCTCCGAAGGACTGATGACATTCGGTGGCAACACCATGTTAGTAGTGATAAGGTTCGCTAATTTTTTTGATGGAAGTGAAGTAATGTAGTTGACGTCACCACCGTCAGTGGCTTGGACATATTTTAGGATTACCGTTTCAGCGGCTTCCACAACTCAGTGTTGATGCTGAAATTGGGATTCAGGTAAATCCAGTTGCTGAGTCACAAATAAGCCAAAATATGAGTTCTGGTTTTCACCTGTTCTAAACAATAAATGATGTTTCGATTATATACCAAATATCATTTGAGTATTGATAATAATAACTGAGAGTACTTAATATTTACTGAGAAGTAACATAGTGAAACCGTAAACAATAAAAAATAGTAACAACAATTCTGTAAGAAAACATAGTGAGTAAAGTATTGACAGGCTAATCTATTCAGTGGAAATACTAATTCAACTCTGCTACCTTGGAAACACACATCGATGAAATAAGGTTATTCAACGGAAAAGACAAACGATACAGTTTTATGGCTAGACAGAGTAGACAAAGTAAAAAAGTATTCTTTTTATTACAATATAAAATAATAACAATTTTATTTTTATAAAAGTCAATAGAAACAAACGATTAAATCTCATAAATAGTGCCTCAGATATATAATTAACTAGTTGATGTCGTAGTCCACACTAAATACTATACATGAATATTAAATAGAAAAGTGAGTTAATGAATGACACTAATGATTTGTCTGGAATTGTTAAACACTCCCGACCGTTGTTGCTACCTTGACGTGGTGGTCGAGCTTGCCTATCGTGATGAATCAATCGAGCTATACTAGTTGGAACAATCGTTACTCAAGTTACTACCATGTCAGACAGGTCGGTTGAAGAGCGGTAAGACTAAAAGCAACAAACCCAAGGTCCGAAGGCGAAGTCGTACTGCTGACTGTACAGAGGTGTGACAGCAGTAAGGTGTTTCCTTCAGACAACCAGCATGACAGCGATGCTGCCTTCCCACAAGGAGGGGTGGGGTTAGAAAAGGTCGACCCTAAAAGTACACACCTCGCCTTATCCCACGGATATCCGTCTCCGGCGGTAAGGTCTCAACAAGTACGGAGCTAACAGAAAAATTATTCACAAAAAGGTCGTGTGTGACCGACCTCAAGCAGTTGTCCCTTGGGCACTGCGGTCACGCTCTCAGGTCACTAAGACCACCTCTAATCCAATTTCCTTTTCAGGTACCTCCAGAAGAACCCTTCCACGGTGTGGGCAACCGGGAAGTGATAACCGCCCTCATACCTCTAACAGCACTCAAGACCACTGTATTCATAATCAACCTCCCTCTTCAATTCCTATTATTCCTCCTACATCGACTTTCACCTCTAAACTTCCTTTTTCGGCTTCCCCCTCAAGTGTCACCATAGCCAACGATTCTAGTGCTCAAAGCACTGTCCCAGGTCTACTGAAACCTCGCTCCAAACTACACATTGGAGCCTTCAACGTACGCACCCTATGTCAAATCGGTCAACAGGCTTCCTTGGCTAAAACCCTAGAATCTCGTACCATTGATGTATGCTGTGTCTCCGAAACACGCATACAGGATCCCAGTGTGGTCATTCACTTGACCTCACCTCGGCAAAACGGAGAGCCAACGAGATACACCCTTCGTGTGTCTGGTGACCCGATGGCCAGTTCTCGTGGACTGGCAGGTGTAGGCATAGCACTAAGCATGAGGGCGGAACAAGCACTGCTAGAGTGGATCCCCGTCAACAGTCGTCTATGTGCTGTTCGGCTAAACGGCTCCGTAAGAACTCGGAAGGATAGGGACACACGTCGTTGCCTTTTTGTCGTTTCTGCCTACGCTCCCACTGACTGCAGCTCAGATGAAGTGAAAGATGAATTTTACAGAAAGCTATCTGAACTTCTTCAGAAAGCTAAACGCTCAGACATAGTACTCGTAGCGGGTGACTTTAATGCTCAGATAGGTAGTTTAAACCAAACAGAAAGGCATTTAGGTGGGTATTTTAGTATTCCGGCACAGCGAACAGATAATGGTGATCGTCTGCTGCAACTATGCTCAGACAATCGTTTATTTTTAGCAAACACAAATTTTAAGCATAAGGAGAGACATCGTCTAACATGGCGACCCCCTACACCAAACCAACGATGGACTCAAATAGACCATATTGCCATCAGTCATCGTTGGAGAGGGTCGGTAGAAGATTGTCGCTCATTCTGGAGTACCTGCTTGGACTCCGACCATGCCCTAATACGGGCACGCATCTGCTTGCGCCTCACTGGACGCAAAAAAGCCACATTAAAAAGACCCATTAGAACTG